CTGGTAAAAAATAGCACAGCCTAAAATTTAATAGTAGTTTGAAAATTTTATTCAAAAAAAAAAATTGGAAATCAATATACATTAATAGCTATTTTTTTCAAAAACATTGGTAAAGGAAAAAAAATCTTAATCTGTCAAGCTCTATCTATAAAAGGCAGGATGTGCGTGTGTGTGTGTGTGTGTGTGTAACGAATGCACGGCCGCAATTTTCGACGGATTTGCACCAAAATTTACATGCACATGCTCCAAGTTAGCGAGAAGTCAACATCGACTTTGCATTTCCCAACTCCCATCGATAGTGGAAATAATCGATTTTTTCATGCTTCTACGGCAGTTTTCATGTACTTTGCGACGATTTTGTACTGGCCAGAGTGAGAGCCAATAGCTGGCTGCCACAAATAGGCAGGAAGATTCTATTGGCCAGCCTGAGAGCCAACAGCTGACTGACACGAATGTTAACTACCATGCTAGCATACAAAAAAATCGATAGCTGCATTCGTCACAAGTGGGAAAAATTTAAATCTGCATGGCACTTTACTCCAATTGGCTCATTCGCTTGCTTAAACTCAACGTTGATTCTGATTCCGCAGAACTGGGTTGGGTGTGAAAAAGTATTTGTTGTTAACATTCTTTTTTCATTTGGTTTTTCCAGTTACGAGTCCTTTTTTTAAAGTTGATCGTTTTGTGTTCATTTTGTTTAGTTCTTTTTTCGTAACAGATTTAATGTTTAGTATAGAGAATAGAAAAAATTCGCAGTGTGAGATAGGCAAGAAGTAAGGCATGTAGCAACATCAGCACGGCAAAAGGCACTCCTTTAAAGGCAAGGAAGGGCAAAAATATTTTAAGTCAAGTGATAGCGATTGCTGTATGAGTCGTACGATTTTTGAATCAAGCACGGGCAATGCCGGGCCATGCTGCTAGTTTTTAAATATTAGACGCTTCTTTGAAGTTTGCAACTTGCGTTGTTCTAACGTCCATTTTTTTTTTTTAATAGTAGAATTATTGGGGAAGAGTTGCCTCTGGATTATTCTTCAGTCGGAAAATTACTCTTAGCCATGAGGCATTTGAAGATTTCTGGCTCCGTGGTAAATCTTTTGAGTTTACTACGTAAAATATTTATTTAGTATAAGTTAGAATGATTGTTCAGCCAGTAGATTATTCTTGTTTAAAAGAAAGATGCTAAGATTTCTAGTTCTGTGGTAAATCATTCGAGTTTACTATGTATTTATTTAGTAAAGAATTTTCGACTCATTGTGTCGAATTATTCAAATCATATTCTATATATTGGATAAAATATATATATAATTTAATGTAATATTTAGACAATTGTTCAATCTATTTTTATTTGAGGATGAAAGGAGGAGGATTGTTTGTATCCGGTGACTTTTGTTAAAAATTTGTTTTAAAAGTTTGGGAAAAAATTCCGAAACTCAGTTTAATGTAACTTAAGAAAAGTTATTTATTTTAACTTATAAGTTTTGTTGACGGAAATGTAACATATTTGCAAAGGATATCAAATTGTCTATTTGCTGCTTATAAGTAAAGTGATTTATATGTAACATAACTTGAGAAATGTTATTTGTTTTAACTTAAAAAGTTTTGTCGACGTAAATATAACAAATTTGAAAAGGACATCAAATTGTTCATTTACGGGTGCTACCTAATCACGCTCTTGTCCTGTAACTAAGCTATGCTTAGTAAATCACTATAACCTTGTGAAAAGGCATGAGTACCGACCCTACGACCACACCGGTTAATCGTATTCATGATGATGATAATGCTGCTGCTGCTGCTGATGATGATGATGATGATGATGATGATGATGATGAAATATTCGATAGCTACGGGTTTAATGTCTATTACCTTTGTAGCTGTTTTTTTATTTGTAAAGATTTTAAAATAATCTCGTCCTCTCTATTTGCTTACAATAATTTCCCATTATTGCTTTGAGAGTATTTTGCTTGACACTCTAGAATTCTTTCTTTTTTCCTTTTTCTATTCTTATTTCCTTTTATTTACGGTACTTTTTTTTTTTTGCTAACTTTGCTCGGACATTGTTATGTTTTTCTATTTTGCCGACGTTTGTTTAAGGCCTGATACACACACACACACACACACACACACACACACACACACACACACACACATATATATATATATATATATATATATATATATATATAAAAAGAAAATCAAACCGCGATTAACGCTACATATAACAATAAAAACTTATCGTACCGACCGAGAACCATGACAACACTGACGTCACGTTAACGAGAAAAACAACTGGCTATCACTTCATTACAAGTACTGTTGTGAGCCAAATACAAATGCCGGCACGATTAAATTATTTTCCTTCAATTCCCCCCTCCCCTGTCACGGTGATTATTTAGTACGTTTCGCTTAAATTAAAAAAAAAAAATAAAACAATTTTCCCGCGTCAAAATTTTTTTCTTTTAGTTATAAAAAAAAATTCCTCACTTAATTCGACTATTCAAGATGTCACCGGCCCCCATATGATCCCCGAAGTTAAGCAATGCCCGGTTTAACTAGTGTCTAGATGGGTGACTTCTTGGGAATAACAGGTGTTGTAAGTTTCGAAGTGTGTGTGGTTTAATGGATAATGGCTCGGAATTTTTAATCAGAGAGCCAAGTTCCAATTACATTTGGGTTCGTTATAGTTCCTTACACGCAAATATTCTTGGGATATGTATGATTTTGCCCCTTCTCTACACAGCTATAGGTTAATTAGTAACACTAAATTATTATTATCTCAAAAATAAATTCTTACAATCTAAAAGTATTTTCTGGCTTTAAATAACCTGCAAATGGTTGAAAGGCTATAAACACGAATCAATAAATCAAGAAGACATGGAATTTGAAAAAAAAAAAAGAAAATATTCATATGTGCCTAACATGGACTCATTAGTCCAGCGAGGAACCTACGTTTGAAGTCAAAGATTATAAGAGCAAGTTTACTCTTTACTGCATTAGTTTAATGGTTCTGTAACTTATAATGTTAGGTACATCCACTCACTGACCTACACACTTTGTTGCATAGATTGCAAGTGAAATCAGGCTGGACATCATAGTATTAGACTATATAGACTATGTGGTTTTTTAAACAGTACAATTAATGTGATCTGGCCTAGAGATAGAAAGTCTTCATAAATGTGTCTTCCAACGAACAGACACACACACTGGAAAACACTTAAGGATTATGAGTGTTGGAATATTTAATAACAAAAATTATGGAAATAAAACGTAAGAGAATCTAGATTAATTTGGCTCGATTGAAAAAAAAAATACAATTTTTTTCAAATTTTGAAGCTCCCAGCGTCTCTCGTTCGTTTGTTACAACAACGTAAGCAAATCCAGTCCGATGAAGTCCTATCCGATGAAACGTATCACAAAACACTTTTACAATTTGTCATATATCTTTTCCTTCAAAACTGCCTTGATATATATATATATATATATATATATATATATATATATATATATATATATATTATAAATTAATTGATTTAAAATATTTTTTTCACTACACAGTTCTAACCATGTTTCAAAAATGGAAGCAAAAAGCTACGGATTTAATTTTGTAATTAAATTAAAGACATTAGTTCCATTTCATCCTCAAGCGAATTTTGGAGTAATTTTTAAAATTACTGGGTTTTAAAGACACAGCTAAAATCATAATTCGCGTTTCCAAGGTTACAGATAAATCCACTTTTCATTTCAACTTTTGGAAGTAAAGTCTGATGATCCAGAGCCCTTTAAAAGGGTTGTGGTGAAATAACTTATTACATGGAACCTTAAAGTGGTCTGTTTTTATTCAAACATATTTACTCTGAATTTACATCCTCCTCCTTGGGTCTACCCATACGGATTACCTAGTTTTGCATGAACTATATATAACCTAATGAGCCAAAACCACGGGATCTTCAGGGTACTACTGGTACCATGGAGATCCGTTAGGTGAAACCTTGGTAGGTAGGTTCTCGTTCACTAGTTTTTTGTTTTTTTTTTTTTTTTAGATTTTGCTCTATTTAATGTATTGAGCACTTTTACGTTTTTATTTAATTTACTCTGTCGGTGTTTTTTTCTATTGGCCAGGCTTCGCAATGCTGATTGATTATTTCCGACCAACACGGATGTCTTTAGGATTTTCTTTTCTTACTGAAATTTTTTTCCCTGATATCGTTTTGTTCAAAATATATATATATATATATATATATATATATATATATATATATGTGTGTGTGTGTGTGTGTGTGTGTGTGTGTGTGTGTGTGTGTGTGTGTGTGTGTATAAGCAAATATATGGATATAGATCCGACAGTATGAAGAAAAATATGTGAAAACCAAAGAAAAATCCTAATATGCAATTATGCTGTTTTAATGTTAATATAATGTCAACGTCGGACGTTTCGGTCTAGTAGACCATCTTCAGGACATATTCATAAAACATCGTCTTTTCATGTTGAATTAAATAAAGTCTAATGTTAATTATGTTTTATGAATATGTTTTATATATATATGAAAGGGTTCAAAATAAGTATACAGTAATGAAAAACAAAAAGGGCGTACAAAACGTATTGTTTATTGATTATTGTATTGATTATAGAGATGACCATTAAAAAGACGGTAAATACAGAAAGACATAGAACAACCGTTAAAAACTGGTGACGACTATTGTGACTGATAAATTTAGGGAGAATTTCCGGGTATTTCATCATTCCCCACGGCAGATGTTCATCTTTGAAAAGTAGAATAACTTGACGCACAAAATCAGTGAGTTGTTTCGCCATACGTGAAGGGCAGAACGAAAGGCGAAAGTCATCTACAAATAACCTTGAAATGATGAGTCACAAGATCGAACAGCAATCATTGTTAAAAGAACCAATTAGAGTTAAGCGATTTACGCGAGAGTTGAATGATTATTCAAGGTCATCAATATTCAAGAAACTTATTCAAGGTTATTCAAGATCAATTTTTCCTGAAGGATAAATCAATCATAATAAATTTGCCGCATTTTTTTTTTACTGAGCACCTTGTGTAAACATACCAATACTGCATAATGCTTACTGTATACCTACTTTTGCAACCTCCTGTATATATAGAGAGATAGATGATGAAAAGTCAATTTGAATTCGAATTCGACCACTTCCATGAATTTTCTATTGATTTCCTTGCCACCGATGACATCTCTGTTGACTAATTCATCATCATCTTGCGGCCTCAGCCGAGATTGAACTCACTACACCTTTCCAGTATTCCTTATCTGTCATAGCTAATACTTTGATTGGTGTAGTTCATAATCTTGTCAAATAGCTGAATTCTTGATGCTTCGCTAGGGCTATCAAGGGTGTTTTTATCGTGACACCATCACTAAATGGATTGCCAACCAAGGCTCAGAGAGACTCCATTCACCCTCCTCTAAGAGCAGGTTTGAATTCAGAGTTTTCCTTCTTCTAGACCAGTTGCCATCCAAGGCTATAGAACCCAGTCTGTTCTGCTATTTACCCATAGCTGGAGGGAGAAGAAAGAGGATTCACACCTTTCCCAAGGGTGTTAGCACGTAAGTGAATGTAATGGACTCGACTGGAATTCGAACTCGGCTCTCCGATTCCTCAATCCAAGCCGCTATCCATTATTCCACCGTGCCTCCTCCGTAATTAGTCATTTCAAGTCACATGTGTTCCACGCATGCTTATCTATTACTGCATTGGTATCATCGTGAACTAAATTGTAATATCAGGTAAGTTCATTCGCTAACCGACACATATTTTTGCATAGATTACAAGTGATAGATTGCGTTGTTGTTTCGATGTTATCAAACCAGCCTTTGAAAAGCATAAATGCCCATATCCTTCAGAGGTGAGAGTCTTTTTGTTATCTTTTCCTGGGAGGTTGCTTATGCTCTTCATGAACCAAACAGTCAGTTTTAGCTATCCAATCCTGGTTTTTCTCAAAGTCGTTAACACCAGTCATGAGCAGTGTTTTCCAAGTAAATATTTCAGGCGTAAGATTTTTCAAACACTGATGTCTATGTTTACTTTCTTAAGTGTGCCCTTCAGGCAGTCTTTCTAGTGGCTCCCACGTGTTTCAGATTGGTCTTCGACCAGCTAATGCGCAGCCCAAGCCTTCTTACCCCCGCGTTGAACTGAACGCACGTACGTCAACCCGGCCGAACCAGCGTGCAGCAGAAACAGCGCCGCGTCGTCGGCGTGCTCCAGATCAACGAGGAAGCCGGTCGTTCATTGCATCCATGAGGATGATAAATGAATGAAATAAAAGTGCAAAACAAATGTTCAGTGTTTGGCTTTAGGAACATGAATAACAGAAATTTACTCTTACAGGATATATTAAAGGCCAGAAATAGGAAAGAGACAGCGAATAAACTACTTAACAAGTTTCTGTTAAAGGATGGCAGAACACGGTTATATGGTAATGTTCACATTAACCGTTTCCCTACAAGGAAACATTCAGCATTCATTAAGTGTCTTTCTTAGCGGCTTACATACAATGCGAACGTTCATCTTCAAACAGTCCAGTGTACAGTGCTTGTTTTTCATACACTCACATGTGAACATTCATTCATTGGTATTTTATATTAATTAATGCCAGTTAAATTCTTTAATGAAACAGATGAATTGCAAAATTACAGTTTTTTTTTTAAATGTATTAAATTAGATCTTTGATATTTTTTTATCGTGTTCACCGCATACAAGACAGTAACTGTACTAAGACAAAAGCAGTTACCAGGTGTGGAAGAGTTAGAAGCAGGAATATTGCTAAGGAAAGAACAAAAGAAGAGTAATCATGAGGACATTAGATAGCGATTGACCCTGCATTTAAATTTTTTAAAGTTAAAAGTGACTGGTAAGCATGGTGCCGGAAGGGAGTTCCACAAGCAAGAAGTGCGAGAAAAGAAACTGCCAACATAAAATTTACGGTTACATCTTACATGTTCGACTGTAAATTGATGAGACCTCGACGCTATTCTAGTACTGCACCTTGTTTCATTTAATATCCGATATTAAAAGCTATCGTCACTATTTCGTCCCGCGTGGCGTAATTGATTGATTACTTGACAAGCATATAAATACTAAAGGGATTCGACAACCCCCGCCCCCGCCACCAGAATAAAAGTATATATCTGTCAAACCGATTGGATTCGCAAGGCTATAAATCATTCGCCATACCGACAAGCCTAAATTATCTCTATCTATAAAAGGCAGAATGTGTGTGTGTGTGTATGTGTGTGTGTAACGAATGCACGGCCGCAATTTTCGACGGATTTGCACCAAATTTACATGCACATGCTCCAAGTTAGCGGGAAGGCCAAGACCGACTTTGCATTTCCCAACTCCCATCGATAGTGGAAATAATCGATTATTTCATGCTTCTACGGCGGTTTTCATGTAGTTTGCGGCCATTTTCTACTGACCAGAGTGAGTGCCTATAGCTGGCTGCCACGAATAGGCAGGAAGATTCTATTGGCCAGCGTGAGAGCCAACAGCTGAATGACACGAATGTTAACTAGCATGCTAGCAAGGAAAAAAATCGATAGCTGCATTCGTCACAAGTGG